GAACGCGACTCTGATATCAACTGTAACGGCTCCGAAAATTAAAAAGAAATGTATATATAAAATTATAAGTGCGGAAGTGAAATAAAATATTATAATTAACATCCCTTACACAATAACCAAAACGTATTAAACATATGAAAGAATAAGTTAACTAAAGTAAATACTAGAAATGAATACTATAAATAAAACTATAAAATCTTTAGACATCTACTCGCCGTCTTCCTGCGGAACGGGCTCGGGAACCAAGTCCTCCTGATCTGAAATGGTTAAGTAAGGAATGAGCTACACTACCCCAGTAAAGATGTCACACTATCTCACTATCACAGAAGTAAAGATTGGTAGAAAACAAAAACGACCAATGGAGCATAATTTATAACAAATTCATTTATCAATAATAAAACCCTTTACTGTCTACTTACCTCAGTGAGATTCATGAAAACAACTTATGAAAACAATAACATTATAATATCATGAAATCATACGCACTCTATAACATAACACATGTCATACTTTTAATATTTCAATCATCAGACAACAAATTTCCTCTTTTACCAGCCTACCAGTATCCATGGGGATCCATAGGGGTCCCCGCTACACGTGAACCATTCACCTTAATAACTTAACTCCAAGGCCGTCCCCATACCCCATCCGGTATGGGCGCCAAAATCATAAACCTCAATACCCCATCCGGTATGAGAGACAACGTTCCCGGTAGGGTTCCCTATGCACCCGGTCCGTCAACTATCTCCCAGGATATCTAGTGAGGCTGTCGACTTATCCATTTATCAATTCACATACATTTTCTATTCTTTTCTTAGTTTTCTATTTCTCACATAATCATGAATATTTAAACCAGTAACGAGCATCCAACAATGCAGGATATTATCGGATTCACAAAATCAAGCAGTAGTGAAGTAAATAGTGATTCATGCATTCAAAACTATAAAATAAATAGATTAGACACCATAATGCCTTTAAAACTGTAAAATAATTAAAACAACAACTGACCGAAAATATATCAGATTCGGGCTCCATTAGCAACCTTAATCAATTATATATATCTATTAATTCATAAAATACCGTTTTATCATTTATTAAGCTTTAATGCCGAGATAGGAAATAAGGTGAGAGGTGCTTACTTGATTCGAAGTCTAAAATCAGTTTTTCACTGTGCCTACGGGCAGTTCCTAGATTCTCTGAATTCTTTTCTCGGGAACTGAAACACACTTCGAGTACCTGCACATGTCCCCAAAAAACTCTAAATCAGACCCAGGGCCTCCTCGGCCAATTTTGAAATTCCAGCACGGCGGCTCCCCGTGCTCCGGCGACGGCGCCGCCGCTTGCAGCGGCGATCTGCCTCGGGTTGGCCGTTTCCAGCCATTTTCAGCCAAATTCGGCCAAACTTGCATTAGTTCCTCTGATAAAACACACGTAAGGCCCTCGGTGGGCCAAAAAAACTCAAAAAAATTAAGACTTACTGGCGGCGAAGCTCTCGTGTGCGGCGGCTCCTCCGTTGCGAGTCGCGATTTGATGTTTTGCTCCAGTCAACCTGTAGAGGAAAGGACAATGATCACAGTGGTGTAAAAATTACATCGAACGGGAATCGAGAAGGGACTCATCGGAGGTAAAAATCGAGAAAACTCGCGGCGGCGCCGCTGGGCTTCGGTGGCGTGGCGCAATTTTTTTAAATTACGTTTTGACCACCGGTTTTTGATTTTCTTTTCAAAAACACCCTCAAAATCCGAATTTTCACCCCCTTTTTCCAAAATTATTTTCAATTAAACCCTAAAAATAATTTTACCCATTTTTATCATTATTATTATTTTTATTTCCATTAAATTAAATTAAACTAAATTAAAAAAATTATATTATTACTTAAATAAATAAATAAATAAAAGAAAAATTAAAATAAAGTAAAATTATAATAATTCTAATAATAATAATAATAATAAAATTAGGGTGTTACATGGTGATATTATAATATCTACTTATCTGGTAACATACACAACCAACTCCTACATCTCTTTACTTGCAAAACATGTTTTCATTATTTTATTTTGTTAAATTAAAAAATAAAAGTAAACTAAATTGCGACAAAAGACATAACAAATATAAAATTTCATGGGCTTAGTTAATAATTTGTTCAAAATAGTATTACACTTTTATACTCTGAAAATTAATTAAATAAATTTAATTACTATAAAATATTATTTTTATCTATAAATATAATAGATAAGTTGAAGCTTGAGCAAATTTAATTATTAGAGGCTGGTCGACACAGTACTAATATTAATTTTTTTAGGCTAAACAAATCAAGTTCATTCATTAAATATTCAAGAACTTATTACAAATGGGAAATCGTGATTGATTGTGTAAGCATCAAAATCTTAGGCTAAAATTGGCACTTGGATAAAAAACGTGTACAACATTTTCGATGTAGACTGATTATATGTATGTATGTATGTATGTTAATCTTATCTATTTTGATATGTCTGATTACGATATTTGTCCCATAAAATCCATCAAGTCATATGATTTGAGGAAAATACTCTCATGACAAGAAATTGATTCTGTATTCGTCCCAACCAAATCAGAATATTAAAGAATAAAATATTAGCGAAGACATTTTTTTTTTTATATAGATTTTATTTTGATGTATGTAAATTATTTTTAATTAAAAATTAAACGGAGAAAATTAGCGGATTATGTAAAATTTACTTTTATTAGTGAATTAAAAATTTGGATTCAATTAAGTATAAATGGCAGCACTTTTAATTTCAATGCTTTAAAATTGAACTTCCATTTTCATGCACACATTTAAATTATGGCAAGTAAATATAAAGTAAGTGATTTCGTATTCGACTGAAAAATACAGCAAATCAACTATACATTTAAATTATATCATATTATCTTTTTTCTGAATTAATTTTAAATAATAAATCAACTTTCATCATACGTTAACATGAAACTTTACGGAAAGCATATTAAAAAAAAAAACTAAAAAGGCCTGTGACCTAACTTCATTTTACTATATACATTACTCGATGGTGATTGTGTATGTATACGCGTACATATATATTAATTAATCACCAAAACCAAATATAATTGGTGCAGAAATTAAGTGTAGATATAAAATTAAGTTTGTAGAGAACACGCGTAGATGTTCTCCAAATTGCAATATTAATTAGGTTATCTAAACATTTACTAATTTTAATTATTTGATTATTAAAAAGTGTTCGTTCCAAATTTAATTTGGTTAGATTTCGTTTTCATAATATATTCTAATTGTTCCCTACACAGGGCATGAAATAATATATAGATGTGGTCAAAATCGTATCTTAGTTATTTTGTATAATATATGCTCAATTATTATTATTATTATTTTTTTTTTTCCCCATTGGAATGTACTTTTCTTTCTTCCTCGGCCACATAAAATTGATCCCCGATATGCCAAATTGCCATTGTTCTAGTACCCAATACGATTTTATTGGATTACTATGTAACATATATATTACTTTGTATACAAAAAATAAATTATATGTATATACACATTAGAAGTATCTCAAAAAAGGGTCCACTGGACATGTTACGTATGAAGTATAACAATATAGTTTTCTTTTTTAAAAATATCTTACTAGAAAATGAAAATATCATTTTTAGTAGCTAAATTTTTTCTTCTTGGCTGGAAAAGTAAGTAATGTATTGAAGAGGTAAAAGAGGGAAAGATAAATATTTTAATATGATTTACACGTTCATTCATAATTAGGTGTATAGGTAGACTAGTCATATAACTAAGCATATTAAGTTTAATATAATTATTTTATTAATTGATCAATTTTTAATAATTTTTTGGTCAATTTAATTTTTTTTTTTTTTTTTTAAGATTACATTAAAATTTTAATTTACCACATAAATATTCTTTTTATTTCAAAATATAATAAATTCATTTTTTTAATCTATTATATGAATGTTTCTTTCATTTAAGAATATAATAAATTTAATTTAATTATCACAATTTTCTTTTTTACCCAAACAAAATATAAAGAAAACTTTTTCAGAAACAAACATCACAAAAATAATAATAATTAATATTTAAGTGTGACAAGCACCGTTCGATGATGTCAGCTAATGGTTGTGGGCGTAAAGATGGCGACAATTCATGACACGTGTCAGAACTTTGGTGGGCCAGACCCACCGCTGACGCAAACTTTTTTAATTTTTTCTTTCTTTATGGTTTTTTGTGGGCCCGGCCTCATTTTGCAATTTCAATATTCAAATATTGAATTTTTGAAGTATTATTGGTTTTAAATAAATAAATATAGCAGATTTAGAAAACAAGATACATAAAAGTATTTTAGATTTAAATATTAAAAACCCATTAATTAATTATATATGTATATGTATATATGCTGAGATATAATTGCCATCTTTTTTAGAAACTTCGTGATGATGTCCTACATGGGTCCTCAGTAAGAATAAATTATTAAGTGACAGATGTCTTCCTCTGCTAAAATAGCAAAAGCCTTTGAAAAGCACAACCCGTAAAGATCCCGTTTTTCTAATTAATCCATCCGATTGGGTTGATTTCTTTTCATGAATTAATTTTTTTGATGACCCCAAAAAACTACAATTCAAATATTAAAACTACCCCATTAAGAACATCTATTCTGCGTTTTGTATTTATTATATGTATGTATGTATGTATGTATGTATATACGAGTTGGAAATTTTCCAGACAGAATGTCAACAAAAACTGACACTGACCATGAAAGGAAATCTTTTCCTTCATTTGTATATAACTAAAGAAAAAAATTTGAGCAGGAGGGTTTGGAGGGAGCTTCAGCCTATATTCCCATATGTTCATCTAACATTTCATGATAATGTTCAACCACAGAAAAATTCAAGAATACAAATGGTCACTGAAGGAATAAAAATATTCTAGCTGATGAGAGGAAGAAAGGAAAATATGTGGAAGCTCAAATAGATTCCACAAGAATTCATCACCAATAAAAAGATATGATTTCCTCTCCCTTCTCCTGCTTAATTTATAACAGGAAGATCTTAATCATACCATGTATGTCATCCCAACTTGCAGGATATTCATGTGAGGTACACTCATATTTGCAGCCCCTGCTCTGCAATTTCTCCTTAAGAAGGCGTAGAAGTAGTTTATAACCAGCTTCTTCAAGAAAACAGAATTTTTCTTGGCCCTTACATCCCCGTGGG